GATGTTGCTCCAAATCAAGTTCACATGACGGTAAATGTCAAGACCGAAACACGTTGTTTTGTTTTTGGTTGTTATTGAGTTGTTGCTATGCCAGAAAATAACAATCTGCAATTAGCAATGCCTCGTGTGTAGTATTCCGCAATCATTACAATTAATATTTTTGTGTTAATAACTAGTTTTCCTAAGTAAATCATTAAGAATTTGTTCGGCAAAGAAGCTAAAATACATGTAAGTGTGCTGAAACTGTTCAATAAACCAGACCAGAAGTTTTGTTTGATGTGTTGCTTTTCTTGTCCAATACCTATTTGATTTGCCATAACCAGCGCAATTGGTGTAATAGATTGTCTATTACTGGTCCTTCACAATACAGATATATATTTTTCAAATATACATATTGTCGCGAAAACGCCACGGACAGCCGATTCTAAATTTTATAGTGCTCTTCGGGAAAAAGAGCTATCGCGTTTATTCTGAATTTTACAAGAATGGATTACGGATATATAAAGGCCTGTATTAGTTAGTAGTTTTTTGTTCAAGATTGACTGTGATACGATTAAGATAGTGAAATTTGCAAGAGTTGTAAAGCGTAAAGTTGTTTCAGTTAATTAGTGAAGTAATTAGGGTCAGAGTGTATAGTGACGTAGAATAAATTATTGTAGTGTTAATTGGACTTTTGGAATAAACGAACCAAATATTTCTGTCACGCACCTCAGAGCGTGAAAATATTATGTTTCGGGAATAATGTCTTAAATTAAATATCTTTTTATGCATTAAATTGAATTTTTTCACTTGCTGAAAAACAAGCCCTTAGGAAAGAAAGGATCTGACTAAATTAAAATAAGTAATACGAAGCTCTTAATTAAAACGGTATAAAAAAAGTAAACACCTTGACAACATTAAAGCGCCGATAAAATTCCTCGGCCGGAGATTTCGTAATGAGTTTTCTTTGTTTGAGCGTCGCGACCATAATTCACCAAAGCTACGTGTAGAGTTGCAAGAAGTTGGATCGTTAATCTTAACTTCGTTCGAAGAAGCCATTTGAATCGTTACGTTTGTTTCGGTATATTTTTCATATTCTTTCTGGATTATGAAACCTGCTAGTTCTCAACTAATAGTTTTTAGAAATAGTATATTGTTGTATTAGGAGTAGAAGCTTTACTTTTTTGTGCTGAAGCAGTAGGTTTGCGAGCCGAACGTAGTGAAGCTTACAATACTGCTAAAGCACAAAAAAGTGCTTCTACTCCGTATGCAACAAGCTATTTTTTCTCCAAACGAATGGGGTAAGCTCGGGGGTAGCTGAATGGTTAAGCGGCACTAAAAGTATTTCTACTGCCGCTGCCGCTGCGGTTGCCTAGCAGCATAGAAATTAAATTTCTACCACCTCGACAGGTGTTAACCTGGTGGATTTGCCTACCAGCATAGAAATTAAATTTCTAACATCTTGACAGGTGCTGACAAAGTGACGTTTTTTTTGACGTTTGGAGATAATAGTATATTACAATCCGAGACGGGAAATGCTTCATTGCTGATCGAGAGGTTATATAGTTTATCGAGACGCGTAGCATCGAGATAAACTGAACCTCGAGACAGCAATGAAGTTTCCCGTCGAGGTTTGTATACTATTTTATTTTTAACCATAATTTATTGAAAAAAAAATAAATAAATTCGTGACAACCAAATAAATGAGCACGGGAAATATTTCCCTGCTCCATTTTCCGTCCGTGGACGGGAAATGAGGACGGAAAAAATTTCCCGTCCTCATTTCCCGTCCTGGGACAGGTAATGGACCAGGAAAATGAAAAGACAGAAATGTGACATTTTCAAATTTTTGAAAAGTCAGTAATAACAACATTTCATATATGGTTAAAAATAATAGTATATTGTTGTATTAAGAGTAGAAGCTTAACTTTTTTGTGCTGAAGCGGTAGGTTTGCGAGCCGAACGTAGTGAGGCTTGCAATACTGCTGAAGCACAAAAAAGTGCTTCTACTCCGTATGCAACACGCTATTTTTTCTCCAAACGAATGGGGTAAGCTCGGGGGTAGCTGAATGGTTAAGCGGCAGTAAAAGTACGAGCGGCACTAAAAGTACTTTTGCTGCCGCTCCAGCGGCACTAAAAGTATTTCTACTGCCGCTGCGGTTGCCTAGCAACATAGAAATTAAATTTCTACCACCTCGACAGGTGTTTACCCGGTGGATTTGCCTACCAGCATAGAAATTAAATTTCTAACATCATGACAGGTGCTGACAAAGTGATGTTTTTTTGACGTTTGGAGAAAAAAGGCTTTTTGTGATCATATCAGTGCAAATTGTGATAGAATATTGGGACTGTGGACGTAAACTGAACCATATATTACTGAATTGATGTAGGTACATTGGAATAAAAGCAGAAATATTTCTCTCAGTCACAGGACAATAAATATAAATTTTTATACTCTTTCAAAAGGTAAAACAAATAAATCTTAGTTTGCAAGCATATTGATTTGATTTTGTTTAGTCCTTTGTATTTTTCGAGCGGCTTTTAAATGTACAATAATTATTATTAACCAAATAATATTTTGTAAAATGTGCAATTAATTTTAGTTCCCATTTGTCATTTGCTAACCGCACCCGTAAACATGGTCCATAAAGGTTTGGTTAAACTCCTAAGAGGATTTGAATGATTGTGCGTTTAATTGAATATTGACCAGCATATCAAACTCGATGCGCTGTCAATTGAATGTGACAAAGTTTTCAATCAAAGGCTCTCCCTGGGGATCATACAAATTAAAGCGAGTTTTCAATGTAATAAACGAAATAAAATTTAAATTGGCTCCAAAGATGAGGAATAAACAAACAAATTCCTCTCTTTTCAATAATTAAAAACGAGTCAGCTCTAAGTCGCAAACTAGAACGGCTTCTTCGCACTGTCTCGATACCTTCCTGAATAAAGTTTAAAACTTCACCGAACTCCTTTGTCAATTTCAAATAAAACGGTTTTTACTGTGTTTCCCGAAAACAATACGATATTTTACACGAAGAGCTCCGCTGACAGCATGACAAATAATTCCATAAGAAATTCCGCTTGGAACTTCAATATAGAAGGAAATTAATTCGGTTCGACATTTAATTTTCAACATTCCTTCGCGCCGATTCGAAGAAAAAGTATTGCCAATTCTGTCACAACACAATAACACTTTTAAAACTTCGAACGGGCGTTTTCGGGAGTGAGAGAATTTTAAGCATGCAATATAAATCAAAAAGTTGTTTCCTTTGAGTTTTATCAGAATCTTATCTATACGATTTAAATCAAATGATTTCGTCCTATTCGTACAACAACACATGTGAGTTCTTATTAAATATATTATCGATATTTTGCCTATTTTGTAATCTCATTGTCTGTGTCTAATTATTACTATTATTCGATAGACTGATAATACTCAAAAGCACATTTCAAGTCTTAGTGATAATAACTAAGCGAGCTTATAAATTTAAACTCGACAACGGCAAGCTATAATTCCAATCAGGCCTACAACAAGGATCTGCGTCATGTTAACACAAATTCCCTATAATAAGATGTATGGTTTTCACTTAATTGGTGAACACTGAACATCGACGGACGGAATGATAGTCTAGTAGAGTGAAAAACATAACATTGCATTGCAACGTTAGCAACAATATAATATAAAACATTTATTTACACATAAATCCTATAAATAATAGTATTATCGAATTTCTCTTCATTATCATTCTTGGAGTTCAGACTTGATGACTGAAATAATAATATCTCGAATTAATTCTACATGTTTTATCTGCTCACGACACCCGTCCGTTATTTGAGTCTCTATCCCCGGTCTTCATTTCCAAGTCGGTTTTAGTACAAATATGTTGTTTTTGCTTCCAAATTTTTGAAATTTAGAATTGGAAAATAGAACATCTGATTCTATTTATGTATCGGAAAAAAATTACAACTGTCATGTGTCCAGATAGAAGCTATAGAGATACCAAAAATTAGAAGAAGAAGGTGTTGAAAATTACTTTATATATAAGAATTCAATTATTGTCTTCGCATTGCGTGAACAATTTGAAGTGCCGGGTTTTTCTAGATAAATCTCGAGTGCACTGTCTATAATAAATAGCGCGTAGTCGTAGTATTAGTTTAAGTGAGTCAATTTTAATTTAATATTTATCGTGTATATTTCGATAAGTGATAAGTGAACTTTGTTTGAAGTAAATTAGTTAAATAAACAATGTTACTGTTGGTGAAGTGAGTTTTAGTGAACCCGGAATCCATCACAATTTGGTGTCAGAATTTCTATTTGGAAACCGTGATACAAGAATAATGACTTCATTATTGATATCGACATCGGAAAACAAGTCCGCAAAGTAATTTTCTAGAACATTTCATCGCATTCTATTTGGAAATTTGACAAAAGCTTTGTTTTCGAGGACGGTTCTAGAACTGTCCAAAACAATGGCACAGTTCATTATTGGAAATTTGGATAGCCGAGCCGTTATCATTTTGTTGATTGATAAACTGTGCGATTGTTTTGAACTGTTCTAGAACCGTCCTTTTTCTCAACCAAAACGAAGCCTTCGCCACAGAACTTTAGATTCAAAATCAAGTTTTAAGAATCAGCATACTCCATAGTAAATTCACATCAAACAACCGAAATACAGCAAAATTAATCAAATGTTGGCGGATTTCATGAATAATTTGGACGTCAAAAGACTAGAAGAAGAAGCCCAAAGACAAACAGGAAAACAAGAGGAAGAAGACTGAAGACAGAAAAAATAGGACCTGCTTGCAGCATTTTTACAATAACAAGAAAACCGAAGACATAAAGAGAAACAATGAATGCAATGGAAGTTTTTGTCAGGAAGTTTGCCGAGAAATTGATTGTTTTGAGAAGAAGATTAAAAAATTGGAATATGACTTGAGATCAGGAAAAGTCTCAGCCTCGCTTGCACCTGGTATTGAAGTTAAGTCTCCATATGACGGACAGACATCGTGGGCCATGTAAAAACATCAATTCGAGACTATTGGAATGGCTAATGGCTAGAGCTCCGATGACTACTACTCAACTACTAATACCTACTACTACTGCATCCGTCAAGGCAACATACTTTCTCAAAATATTTTCCGAGAAAATTCTGTTTGAAAAAGTGAGTTGAGTCGACCAGTTATTCGCCAGGATGTCCAACTCGAGCCAGAGCCTGAACAATTGGCAAGTTAGAAACACCCAGCATATTCAAGGGCTAAAAGAAGAGAAAGAAGCAGTGAAACAAGAGCTTCAATCAGTACAGAGAGACAATGCAACACTCCATCAAGAGCTCGATGAGATCAAAACGGAGAACCAGAGCCTCAAACTGCCCACCAATGCCTTTAAAACAGCAGACGAGGTGAAAACCGCTGAATTCTAAAAATTCTGTAATGCCAGGTGTGTTACGGGATTAGTGAAACTCTCATGTCGATGGTAACTATCTGACTATATTGATAATAATTGATAATCATGTTTGTGTTACAAATATGTTTATACAATACGTAGGTAATTAGCTAGGCTACTTTAACTCGACGGTAAGCATTTTACTTTGCTGGACCACATTTCTTCGTCTAGTGCAAGTGCCAGCTCCTGAAACCAGAATATACCAAGTCCGACACATCAACAACGTGAAAGTCAGAGTTGAGACCCAGAAATCACAAGACAAATCCACCGAATGTCACAGATGTCAACTGTTTGGTCACGGCCAGTCGAAGTGCCAAGCACTGCCAAAATGCGTGGAGTGTGCCGGGGACCACCAGTCAGAAACTTTCACGAAACCAAGAATAAAGACAGCAGCAGCCTGCGCTAATTGCGGCGATGATCATCCTGCCTCATACCAGGGGTTCTCCAAGCACCTAAAGCACCTGAAGACAGCCTAATTCAAGCCCGCCCCACCATCAATTTTTGTTTGGGGTTAATGAAAGAAAATGACACCCACCACCGTCCACCACTCAATAACAGCAATCAACTTTAGAATGAATCATGAGTCAGATGTTGAAACTTCAGCAACAACTGAAAGCCATCATAAAAGAAAAAACAAAAAAAAGAACACGGCTCTGCACGGCCAAATTCCTAAAAATAGCGACCTGGAACGTCAACTTCATGAAAACCAAAAAACTGGAACTACAGATATTTCTGGAGCAACAGCAAATAGACGTCCTGTTGCTACAAGAATCCATAAATCATGCTAAAACCCGAGCACAGATTCACTCTACGAAACTTCAGTCACCAGAAAGGATAGAGACGCCAGAGGCGGAGGCACCTTCATAGCTGGCCAAGTCAAATATCCGTCACTACGAAATCCCAAAGCCGAGTGGTCAGATTGAGAGCACCTTCGTAGCAATCCCGGTACAGGTCGGTTCCCTCTACATCCAGTCTAACCACGTAATTGCTGGCCAGCTGGTTTCCTTATTCAGCAACCACGACCAGCCAGTTCTGATAGGAGGTGATTTTAATGCAAAACATACCGACCGGGGCTGCACTACATCCAATCAAATGGGAATCTCCATCCAATACAATGCCAAACGTCTGGACTATAATATTTGGCGTCCTGATGAACCTACCCACGTAAGACGTGGCAAACCTAGCATTCGGAACTATTTTATACACAAAAACGGCAACCTAGCTGACCAAACCCCAACCAGAAGACTAAGAAGTAAATTGAACAGCATTCCAGAATCACCTGGAGAGTGAACCCGCGCTCGGCGACATGCATTTCTACAAGAGCTAGACACGGCTGTGGACACTCTAACTAGCAACATCTGCGAAGCTCTCGACTTCAGGTCAATTATATGATTATAGTTTTATAAATAAAAAACGGTATCATTCAGATAAGTTATTAAAACTTTGGTACCGTGTAGGATATTTTCCACACTAGGTAGGTATAATTTTCGCACTAAGGTCTGCCAGGTACGATATAATGGAGACCATAGACCTCACGTAACTTGAAAACGAATGCAGATATTGAATTGCGGTTTGCGCCAAAATGTAGATATTTTTTTGCTCTTTAAGCACAGCAATACAAAAATATTATTATGCCATTTGGATTTTTCATGAAAATTAGGAAAAACTGGATCTTGAATAAACAGCGCTCTCTATCAGACGCGGTGGGAACTATCGACCTCGAACGAAGTGGTTTTCTTAATAACAATGAAATTCTCTTCCAAATAAACCCAAATTGAATGAGTTTGAATGAGGGGTATGGAAACTACAGCAATTTCTAAAAAAAAAATTACCAGCTTCCCCCACCCTTATTACTGAAGATACGAAAAAAACCCTAATAACCAAACTGGCGCAAAAATTAATGAACTTTTGATTTCTGTTGTTAAAACAGTATCTTAATATAGCGATTTCTTGAGAAAAGTTGAATTTTTAGCTATATAATCGTAATTGCGCCCCCTAGCGGTCATCCTAGAAACTTGAAAATAATTTCCATCAATTTCTCTTGGCCGATTTAGTGAAGAAAAAAAAAATCCCGAAGCCGTAAGGTCTATGGTTTCTATAATATCGTATATACCTGGCCGACCTTAGTGGGACACCTGGTATATTTCAATTAGTTTTGGACAAAATATTATTTAAAAACGAGTTTAAAAATGACTAAAATGAGTGTTCTGTACAACGATTTTGCATTATAGTAAAATATTGGACCCTTTTTATAAAATATATCGTTAGCTACTGTTCCTAGTATTTTGTATTCAGCCATTTCATCAAAGAGACGTAATATTATAGAAACTAGAAAGTACGGAAGCTTCGGAGGCTCAAAATTTAGATACAAGTTTTTTTTTTGATAACTCAGAATATTATTCCTTTGATAATCTCGGAAATGATTTCGACTCACAGATTTATCCTGTAATATAGGCGATAATAAACAACATTAATAAATACATATTTAAACTTTGGTTTTCTGCACTAAATATGATTATTTTTATTTAAATTATCGAACGTGTAGAACGCATAGACCACGCAACGTGGTCTATGCGGCATCGGCGTCGGCGGCGCTCGGAGCTACGGCTATGATATCGTTTGCCATCTTTCGGAGCTCCGTCTGTCTGCTCCCCAGACTCTTGTGTGGCAACCTAGTATACATGATGTCAATCCAAAGGAAGATGAGCCAGGCATATTTGAGGGGAGATCTGGGAATTCGTAAAGACCGAGCGGTCTAAGGCGCTGCGTTCAGGTCAATTGAATAAATAAAAAGTGATAGTAATGTTTGCGAAGTAAGTTTTAGTGAACCCGGAATCCGTGACTATATGAAAAGCAGTCTATCAGAAGGAGCAAATGAAGAGGGCTGCCACTCTGTCTGGTGAACCCTTTTATTGATTTTATTTCAACCAAATTTTCTAAAAATGTCTAATTTTTGAATTTCAGGCCAACAAAATCAACCTTTTCTTTTCCAGTGATTAAATTCGGCAATCAAGACTTATTTCAATTTTGTCAAAGAGTGAAAGTACGTTTGTAACAAGAAAAAGATTAGTTTCCCAAACTAACCTACATCAAATATCTAACGAAGAATCCTCAAATTCAACTCAAACATGTTAAAAACTGAATTAACTTACAATCCATATTTAGTTCTTTAATGCCTGCGAGTAAATGCTAATAAACGGTATTATCACGTTCGGCGAACAAATAAAATATGCAAAACTTTAAAGTGATGTGGCTTTAACTCGGCAAACTTTTCCTAAGCTGCACTTTAGTGTTGGATATGAGGCTTAAATTACTAGGCGCATTTGCATACATACCTCATCATAACCTTTTGAACGTAACTTTCCGAATGGTAGTTTTTGGCGTATGTATTTTTTTTACAAAGCTCAAACTGCTTATAAAGTAGGTACCTACCTATTTGGAAGGTAATTCAAATGTGTAATACATAATTGTATATATTGTTCGCAAACTTTACACATGCATTTTTGTTTGAAAAATCTTATAATAAACTATAGATAAATAAAACAAAAAATGAGATGAAGAAGAATAGGGATTTATATTTCGCTAAATAAATACCAATGGATTCAATATAAATAGAAATAACTCGTCCAATTTCTAACCATTTATCTTAAACCGCATCGAAATTACTAAAAGCCGAAATCTTTAAGTTCGTTGGCAATGAAAACAATTGGCTAATTCCCTGAGATGTGGCAGCCAAAAGGCCGTTCCCTTATTTTCAGTCTAAGCCGGCTGGAACTGTAATCCCAAAGTCCGGGCAGGGGATTTGGGGTCACAACGTATGATTTAGTCCTCCCTCAGATCAGACTGGTAAAATTGAAATTCTTATCTTTGGAGTTTCATGTTTGGACTTTAATAATGGGGATTGAGCTTTCGAAGGATCATGCTGCTCCTGTCTAGAATTGTGTGTCTGGGCTTTTTGTTTTCCGAGGAAATGGAGATTTACGCAGGCTTTTAGAGATGTTAGTAAAGCATTTCGAATCGAGAGATTTTTGAAAGAATTTTCAAGAAAATATTGAACGAGTATAGGAGAAAGCTTTTTAATATAATATCAGTTTTAATTTTTTAAAAAATATCAATACCATTTTGGTTAATAATTATATTAATATAAGTAGTATACACTTATCTAGTAGCAGGTCTTGTATTATAGTATATCATCAGAGATTTCATGTAGAAAAGGGTTAATATTTCTACAAAACTCCACTTCCTTTTTGCTATCGTTAAAATAAAAAGCCTTTCTATAAAAATTATATTTTATACCTGACTAAAACCAAAATGAGAGGCTATATAGATACGGAAAATACTATAATTCTCATTTTATGTAATTCTCGAGAGTATAAAATATAAATAATAATAACATTGTACCATCTATCACAAAGTATACCAACTTGAATCGTAAAAGGAAAGCTAATAAAGTCTGGGAGATTTTTTTATGTAAACGAGTGTCTCGATGAACTTTATGTGAAATATGTATGGACACAGAAAATCTACCTTCAAAATATTTTATTAAAAGGCAACATTTTGATGTTTTTCTGTAAAACCAGTAGAAGGAAAATTCCGAAATATTTGGAATGAAAAGAAGGAGGTTAGGAGCTCATCATACCAAAATTTAGAGTTAATCCAGGTAGAAATAATAACATAGGAAATAGATTCTATAAAATCAACTTTCGAATGCTAAATTTTGTACTACTCAGAACTTAAAAAAGCTTGGAAACACCTTTCGCTATGGGAGATTTAAATGCAAAAATAGGCCAAGATGATACCGACCCATATTACATCGGCAAATTCGGAAATAGTACAATAAATGAAAGAGGCAACATGCTATCTCCTTATACTGACACATCAAAAACAGATAATTAAGTTGTCGACGTCTTATACTCATTCACGACTGATACCGATCATAGAATGTTAAGAAGTAAAATAGCCATATTAAATGGCAGACTAGAAAGAGTAAAGAAATTCAAACGTCCCCAAAAGAAATTAAGCGCACATACCAAAAATAAAAACAGAAAATTGAATTCGCAACAACATTAACACAAAAACTGGAGAAAGAACCCATAAAACCACACGAAGACATAAATTAATTTAATAAAAGAATAACGAAAACAATAAAAGAAACAGCAAAAAATATCAAGACACCGAAAAGTAAGTCAGAAAAATTTAGCAAAGAAACAAAAACAAGGAAAGAAAGATACACCAGCATAAAGACAGACTAACAAAATAGCCAGAAGGATGACAAAAAAAGACATTAAAAACTATTAAGAAGCACAAATCGAAATCGA